TGCCGAACACTTATCCAAATAACGTTTCACGTCAATACAGCTTAATAGGACGTTAGCTCTTGTGTTCTTTATACATACCACTTCATGTCGGAAGCGGTTGTATTTATCATCATAAATAACTAATACGGCGAGCAAGTGTTCCAACATCTGTCCTTGATGCACCGCAACGTAGGGAAGATTAAGAGAGCGTGCAGATAATGCGCAATGACCAGGCAGCAATGTATCGGGCGTTAATATTGGTTGAGTTCGGCGGGAAACAAAAGCACGTGGACGTGTTTGGGGTGTGAACAAACACACGAGGCACACAAGAAACAGACGAATTTGCAGTCCGTACAGTGTATGTATAGACGGCCATAAGGTCGGCCTTAATGGACGACTTGTCTCTCAGCTTTAGATGAGAAATTTAGCCAGTGCAGTACCAACGCTATCCTGGGCACTTTAACGTGAAACCCGCAGGATTACACTACCGCATGCCTGTACGAATGATGCTCATCTAGGTCAAAACGGGCAGGCGTGGGGATTTAACTATCACCATAAAATAAATATGACATTCTATGATAGCGCTGCGTGCCACCGATATTCTTCGTAGTAAATGACCGTGTGTAGTGTAGATTTGCAACAAATTTTGAATCATCAGTTTTAGAACGCAGGTCTTAGGCGCCCGTTTCCGGGTTGAGCACTGTCGGCGTCGCCGTCGGCGTAACCGCGCGCGTTGCATTATGGGACGTTTCCCCGCTAAAGTTAGCGGGGAAATTTTACCGCTAAATTTAGTGGAAAATTTTTCCTGCTACATTTAGCAGGGAAATCTTCCGCTAAATTTAGTGGGAAAATTTTTCCGCTTGACATCACGTAACCTCAACACCAATTCAGTTTCCCCGCTAAATTTAGCGGGAAAAAGTTTCCGGGGACTTTAGCGGGGAAACGTTTTCTCTAAAATTAGCGGGGAAATTTCCGCTAAATTTAGCAAGAAATTTTGCGAAAATTTTATGCTAAATGAGAGGGAAGCAGGAGAGGAGCAGGGGACGGTACAGAGGCGAAGGAGGGGCGTACACTCTCCTACTCCTCAAGAGCTGCGCTCTCATTCGGATTTTCGAATTTTAACGAATTTTCAGCCTTATTATCTGCTGAGCTTCTTCCGTAGATTGCTACGACTGGCTTCTCCAAGTGGTAGGTTTTTTGGAGTTTACAGGAAGGGATAGGATACCTCGAGCGGGGAGTAAACGAAGGAAGCAGAAAGTTTGGAGAGAAATTTTAAATAAGCAGGATGTAAAGAGAAAAGAAATAGCATAATTTTGTGGGCATTGAGCGAGCGTAGGGGCATTCTGCAGAAAAAACACAAAATAATATGTTTTTCCTCGGGGTGGCAGATTTCCTTTGTAAGCCAAGGTAGTTTAGTTCGCATTGACTCGCCCAATCAACCTGAAATCGCGTCGTTTTCCTCGTAAGCTAGATAGATGTACTCTAATGTTTCTACCCATTGGGACAAACACATCGTACTTTTAGCATACTTTACGATGGTTCATCGAGTTTATACCCCTGAAAAAGAGCTACTTTGACGTGAGTCGGAAATAAAGGGATGTGCCGCAGTCATTAACCTGAACTCTTCGTCTGTTTTTTCTCCCACGCAGGTATGTTTCAATGGATTCTGTGAAAGGTAAGCAGTCTGAAGTGCCACTGTTCGCGCGGCGTAGATGAGGTCGTTCCAATGAGGGTGTGTAAGGTCAGCCCATTGGCACCTCGCTGTAAGAAAACCTCGACTAGTTTCCAACGTAACAAAAACAATGCATGACACTATAGGACCGTTCGCACGCTTGCGTTTTCTTATGACCGAGCTCTTGTAGGAGAACACGCTGGAACGTTGGCGCCATCTATGAAGTGGTCCTGGAACTGCATTTCACTAGAGGGAAGAGGGCGTGTCTCCGACAGGTGTGTTTACAGCGTCCTGAAATGTGGTCACTCGATTTCTGTATGGTGAAGTCATAAACGTGTCATGTTGCTTGATGCCGCAATCCTTGTGGTGGAAGAGCAGCAGAGGTGGATACGGCAGAGGCCTGTACTGCCGCAGGTTGCTCTGCGGCCAGGCAGTTGACGGAAACCAAAGTTGAGACGAGTTGGGACGCCGCGGCGACATGGACTCTTACGTTCACTCGCTTTTTTCGCCAGCACATCACGATTAACAGAGAGGATAGCGAGTTCCAACGGCATGACACACCGAATCCTGTGGCGCAATTTGTTTCCACTTCGGGACCCTTTCCTATGCATGGGCCACGCCAGTCGAAGACATTCCAGGCAGCGGAGTAGAATACGCACGCTTGGGTTATCGACACCATAGGCGTAGACTAAGGGAGAGGGGGGGGGGGGAGGCATCGGGGCTCGTGCCGCCCCCTCCCCGCCCTGGTGAGGTTCGGGGGGGGGGGGGGGGGGGGGGGCAGAGCCGGCCAGGATCCTTACCGAGACGCTGTTTACGTGCCATGTAACGAGCTTCTAGTAGTCGAATGTAAACAAAATAACGCACACAGCGGCAGACACGTGGGGATATACATACCCTGTAAAAAGTACCCCCAAAAATAAGCTGCTGATAATTGCCGGTGTAAAAAGAAAATTGCGCGCAAAAGCACCTCCCCCCACCCCCCCCCCCCCCCCCTCTTTTAGGAAAATGGAAAGTCTACGCCGGCTGATCGACACTGGTACTGGCGTAGCTCACTCGGTGCTTCAGCGCTATCGAAGCTACTTGCGTTAGCGCGTGTGATTAGAACGCATGATTAAGCTACTTTCTCTCGCAGCAATCTGGGGGTGCAGCATTGTGTTGACAACATAGTCGACGCCGAGGTTCTTTTTGCTTTTTTTTAGGCATGTAACATTTGTGTTTCTGTTTATCTGTCCGTGCATTTCCCCGATAAATTGAGCGGGGAAATTCACGCAACCTGACCTGACTTCGCCTAATTTAAACGTCAACTTATTCCTCTCACTAAAGTTTGTGGGAAAATTAACAGTGACAAAAAACGATTATCTTTCATACTCCTAAACGACCGTTTAATGTCTTTAAAACAAATG